TATAAAAATATAAAATTAGGTATCTACAGGTAGTCTTCAGTGAACAACTGCCCTGTTTAGTGATTGTGACATATCATGTCACAATGACATGTGATTGCCATTCGGGTGCTTTGCAACCAATGTGCATTTACAATGATCCTTAAGTGAAACTAGCTGTATTCTCAAACATATAGTAATATCATACATTGTTATAGTAATATCATTATTACATTATCATTACTACTTAGTTTTTATATAATATCACAGTTAACATTTTAAAAACTAATTGATTAATTAATTAATTAGATTAATTGTAAGGTTTTTTTGAAGATTAATTTTTTAAAAAATATTGGGATTGGAACTAAAAATACCAGTTTGTCTTCTTTCTAAAGAAAGAAATATGAAATATGAAAAATATAGGACATTTTCTCTAAATGTTGGTATTTTATTTATTTTGAAGAAGCATGATTCAATTAAACCTAATCTTTAATCATTTTAGGCTTGCGATGCTTTTACTTCTGCTGTCAGGCTATATCCACGATACGCAGATGCATTTTACCAGCGAGGGCTGTGCAGAATGCAACTCCAACAAGCCAAATGCATCTTAGATTTTAACAAAACACTTGCTGTTTTACCGACTCATTTTCAGGTAAGAGAGATGATTTTGTATTTCTAAAGATTTAAAAGTAACCTTAATAATATTTAAAACTAAACTTTAAAAATAAAACTGAAACAATCTTGCTGTTCTCCATTAATTGACTGAAAATGGAAGATTTAATTTTTTGAAAATTCAGCTCAACTGTAGAGACTAAGATGGCCTTGACAGAGATAGGCAGGATGTGTTACAAAACTGATGAGGAAAAAAAAAACATACCTTAAGTCCAAGACAAGCAGAAAATATGCAGACAAGGCTCAGACAGACACCTCCCTAATTCACATGGCCATAAGAAGGGGAGGAGGCACAGCATAGATCTTCTGCAAGGTTCTGTTATTGTAGCCACTCTCAATAAAAGTAGTTATAGCCTTCCTCTGGAATTCATTCTTGGTCTGATCTAATTGGTGGGGCTGACATCAATTAATTTGGTTCAGTTCATCTCTTTTTGTATTCATAGATAAACTTCCATTTCTATATACATTTGTTTAAGTGCTGGTGGGGTGTCTACAAGGGGAGTTTCAAGATGTCCACAAAGGGGGTTCAAAACAGGCAAGTTGATACAGGCTGGTTGATGATGCAAGCCCTGTTCCTTTTATATGCATGTGAAGTGCAGGACCCGCAGATCAGCAAACATTAGTACATAAAACCTTATTTAGTGTACACAATAGAATAACCATTATAATTACAAATAGGGTACAAAAAACAAGATACTCCAGGGAAGGCTATACAAAAATTACAAACAGGCTTTGGTTGTTCAAATTGCTGCTCTGTACAATTTGCAGAGAAAGACGTAAATTAGAAATAAGCACGTATGATCAACGACAAGGCTATTCCTGCCTAAATTCACTATTGTCTGTTCCTAATTAGATATGCAAGAAATGTACTATACGTAACCAGCATGATAATTTGCTCGGTGACTTGCTTGAAAAATTGGCGTTACCTGTAAATTGGGATCAATGTATGGCAATGCCACAGCCACCATTTTGCTTATTTGGATGCACACAGTGATGGAGTCAGCTGCAGTTTAGACAGCCAGCCAGGTCCTACTTTACAGTGAACATTATAGGAAAATGTGGAGTAATTAAATTCACCTTTTTATCAAGTTTTCATTTTTGTGCAGTTCCCCAGTGTTTCCTGCTAGTGTCAAATAGGCACCCAAGCGTTACACGCAACGTAGCCAAATGTTGTGCAGTAATGTAAAACCCAACTTATTGTATTTTATGCTATGATGCATTGTTATGACCTGTGGTTATACCGATAAACCTATTTACTTACTAAAACCCAACATGAGGTAACAGTAGACTGTCTGTAATATCCATATAAAATTTGGGGAATTTGGTTAAATTTGGCCTCAGTATAGTTAGTAAGTATTGCCTTTGTTTTCTGTATGTCTTAGGCTGACTGTTGCTGGTTTTTTGCTATAATAAAGTTTGTTCGTTCATTCATTCGTTCTCTGGGCTCACAGTGTTTTCTAGACAGAGGGCTATATGCGGCTTTTGAATGACGTTAGAGTCCACACTTTAAAAAATAGTGGGCATAGTCAGAATAAAATCTAAATTGTATGTTATCTTCCATTTATTTTATATAGCTAATATACTTCATCTCCTCTTGTGTATTCAATATTTTTTCCTTTCCGTCACATTACACTTTAGAGTTTGATAACAACTTTTGAAGGCCCCTTCAAAAGTGAACAGAGTGTCACATGTTAAAGAACAAAAGCAGGGTGATTTGCATTAAAAAGATTCTTGGGCACTTTACATTAGCAGTTTTATGACTTTGGAAAAATGCATGCAAAGCCTCTATCTGTTGAGAATATAAATGGTACAAATGTTCCGATTGGTTAAAACAATTCATGGAAAGATCTGCTTGGAATCTGCCTTGTTAAATGTAATTGATAGAATTTTTTACTAATGTGCATAACTACACTAGCAGAACTACAAAGAAATGATATACAGAGAGTCAAAAGACTTTTCTGGGATTTAGGAGCTAAGGGCAAAGAGCCATCTTCCAGAACAGGAGAGAAGCACCTGTAATTTATTATGGATTTTGAAAAAGTTCAGAAATAGCATACAAATGATAATTGTATGTGGACTTTGACATTTTGTATGTACATTCCAGTTAGCAGTTATATTGGAATAAATACATAATATAAGGGGAGAGGCAAAAGTCTTCAGTATGTGCATGTGTGCATGCTTGTGTGTGTGTGTATGTGTGTGTGTGAGAGAGAGAGAGAAAGAAAGAAGAGAGAGAGAGAGAGAGAGAAGAAATGTTTTATTCATATTTATAAATCTTTAGAGCTTTTTCAACTTCTAAATGTTGAACTTGTAATCTTCTGTTAGCTATGTATGACAACATAGAAGTCTCTGGATATTTCCTCCCTGTTGTGTTCTGCAATGAGTTTGTTGTTGTTTTTTTCTGTTAAGGCTTATTTAAGTCGTGCTGCTTACTATGGTTGTAAAGGAAGATACTCTAAAGCAATAATGAATTGCACTGAAGCCCTCAAAATTGAGCCGCAGAGTGTGAGAGGGTATCTTTACAGAGGAGTACTGAAATTTTACAACAGGGTAAACATGTTTACTGCTGTCTTAATTTGAGATATATAAGTGAAGACTTTGTAGTTGTCTTATGAGTAAAGAAGGATATTTGAACATCAGAGCTGCTTACTAGCTGTGTACAAGAAAGTGAAATCTTGATTCATAGACCAATATTGCAATTAGTTTTAACACAACATGACTTTTGTACTGTAAAATAGTTGCCATTAGATGGAAAAACACGCACACACTAAGAGAAAGTAGAGAAAGGAATGTGGTGGGAAAATCAGAGCAGGGGGTAAGATCTGCTCTACTGCAACTGAAGCAAGGTGGTGGCACTGAGGAGGGAAAGGAAAGTGCTAAAGAAGAGAAGGGAAGTGAGGGCAAGGCACACCAGGTTTGTCCTATTCACCCTCATTGTTTCTGTTTTGTGCACACCTCTCACAAGCTCTATAATGTGTGATTGTTATCTTATTCTATGTAGATTAAATAATTCATGCTATTACTATTGTGTCATTTTTTTCTATAGACTTACAAACATGCTGTTGAAGATTTAACTAAAGCTATAGACCTGGATAATGTGTGCATTTTGGCATATTATAACAGAGCAATTGCATTCCAACAATTGAAGGACTATGAAAATGTATGGTTTGTTTTCTTAATAAGCAGTGATTTGTCATTGTTAAGTTGCTTTGACACTGGATGTCTACTTCCAAACCCACTTTCCTGTCTTACTCACATTTTATGGTGGATCTAGGGGACAGTGTTTGACTCCTGTAAACTTCTACAGCTTACTCCATCTTTTTTTTTCTTTCCACAAATAAATCTGGTGGAAAGGATAAAATAGTTGCATATCTGATTCATAACATTAGCATCTATCTATCATCTCTGAATATAAATGCTGTATCAATCTTCTATTCTTAGTGATCATGTGCTTTATAGCTTGATTAATGATGGCTTTTAATACATTGCTCCAGTCCAGATTTTTAAGTAACTCCAATCCAAAAGTTTGTAGTACATGATAATATGTGGGTTAGATGTGTAAAAAGGTGCACTCTTAGTGTTTTTATGGTACAACGGGGGTATATTTAGTGCCCCATAGTGCTCTCTTGCTTCCTCTATCACTGGCAGCCTTTTTCTCCCTCCCTCCCCCACAGCTTCATCCTCGGTCAGGCTTCCATTCTGCTGCTTCCTCATACTGTAGGCCACATGTTTCTACTGTCTCATTGGCTCTCTGCTGCATATTTCTCACTCCCTTTGCCTTTTCATTTTGCTTCTTTGGTTTTTCACTAATTTAAACTCTCTTCCTTTTTTGATTTTTCCTGTTTTCTGTGTCCTTGCTGGGTCCCCACGCTGGCATTGTCTTCTCCCATCTGGATCTCCTCTTCTGTCCATACCCTGCTTCTTTTTCCATGTTCCCAATCTTCTCCCTTCCATATTTTCTGTTGTTCCTCTGAAGAGTCCTTTCTCTTAGCACTGAATCTTGGTGGCCAGTCCCATAAGAAGCTGCAGTTTTTGTGGGTGATGGGATGCAATTTAGCTACAAAGGACAGTATGGAAGAGGTAGCCTGTATGTGCTTCAAACTGGGGAAAGTAAACAATGTATGTACATATACATCTATGTATATATTTATCTCCCCCCCCCCATGTTGGTTTTATTCACTTTTGAGAGTATGGCCCTCAAGTTACTATGCAACAGCAGATGTATCTCTCCAAGCAAGAGAAGGTGCACATCCTGATGCACATGATGTCCATTAGAAGAATAAATCAAGGCCCTTTTAATTTCTCAACTGCCCAGTGGAAAAAGAAATAGGAAAGATGAATGACTTGCTTCTTAGATAAACCTAATATAGTTTTAATAAATTTCTAGCAGCAAATTCATTGTATTTATAGCTTATCTTTATAAGCAACCGTATTTCTTTGAAATGAATGCTAAAATGAAATTTATAAATATGGTCATTTATGCCATCCTTTGCTGAAACTTGATTATTACTCTAAATTCCTATGCTGGTCTATGACTGTAAAAAGATTTGATCTGACTCTAAATTCATGGTTGTAACCTAATTATGATATAGAATAAAAAACAAATTCCTGATATTATTATTGCATTGAAAAGCATACAAGTCTTTAATCAGGTCATGATTTTGACATGTTTTCAAACAGGAAATAATTCCTTGCTTTAGAAAAAGTTAGCTATGCTTTTTACTTCACCAAGCTGACTTTGTGGGGTTTTGTTTGTTTGTTTGTTTCAGAGTTTGAGAGATTATGGGATTGTTCTTCTTCTTGAGACAAACAAGGACATTGTCCTGAAAGTACTGATAAATCGTGCCCTGGTTTATATAGAAATGAAACACTATGATTTTGCACTAGAGGTATTTTCCCCCCTAAAATTATAGATATGTTTGTTTCTACAATGTAGACTGGATTTGTTTGAAAAATATTTTGCAATCTCTAGTATAAAAAGTGATAAAAGTAACAAAAAATGCTGTGTATAGGCATGGTTAAACTGTTCGTATTCATTTAGAAATTTATCTAACCACATCAAAGGAAGTTCTCAATGAATAGTTAATTTGCAATAAGCATCCAAAACATTAACTAGAAAATAAGGAAAAGATCCAATAAATAAAGATGCAGTTCTTCAATTATCATTCATGTTTAAAAATAATTTGTCCAAAATGTATTAAATAGGTTGAAATAATATCTTGGGCTTCTAAATATTGTAGTTACTTTTTAGAGCCTACGCACGCATGAATTAACTAGAGAAGGTTGTGCCTATAAAATGTTCAGCTGTGAGGAAATCACATGAGTAATATCCAATCATTTTATTATTTTTCTGTATATATTATTTGATTTAATTCTATGAGGTATACTACTGTATCTCATACCATTACATCTCTAGGCTGCTTAAAAATAAAAGATAGATAATGAAAAACAAGAAAGGAAAGCAATAATTGCTTGGAGAGATGAACATTTTTATCTCAGCTGTACAGTAGTGGCTTTCAGAGTATGGGTACCACTAGGTGGGTATCAATTTTGTCTTTTTTGCTGCAGCAGATAAGCATGGCTAATCCTCTGAAAAGCAGTACATTCAATGTATTCTCTTTCAATGTTTTAGGACTTTGCAGACGTGGCAATGACTGAACAAAAAAACAAAGAATTATTTATATCTATTGGACTTTGCTATCATAGGTAATCTTAAACAGTGCTGAGTAAGATTTGGGAATATGTGTTTGGTGTCTTGTCTTACAGAAAAAAATTATGCAGCAGCTGTGGAGGAAGGAAGGCAACTGCGATGGCCCAAGGCATTTTATTTTCTGCAACAGCATCCAAATGCCTTACTCCCCAATCCTGAACTAGAATAAGCATTTCTAAAAGTCATGAGGCATAATTCAAAACAGAAAAGTCAAATTCTGTTTTCATTTACCCCTTGTTTCTTTCCTTTGCATGACAGGGCTAGCACAGACATGAGACAACCTTTAATTTGTTGCCCGGTTGTACTGACTCATCACTTCCATCACCCCTACTAGCAAAGCACTTACCTGCCTGGGAATCACAACTGTAACAATGAAACACATCTGGAGCTGACTAAGATGTTCAGTCATTAAAACTCTTCGTGACCCCATGAACCATATCGCGCCAGGCCTTTCTGTCTTTCACTGCCTCCCTGAGTTTGCTCAGTTTCATGCTCATTGCTTCAAGGCCAATTAAAGGGAAAGGCCTACCCTGTTCTTCAGAAGCCATATGTGTTCTCTTCATTCATGTTCAATGTTTTGGTTCAATTTCTAGTGGTTTGGAAACAGCATTCCAGAAAGTTCAGTAGGAAATCAGTATGTTTCTCATATACCTTTTTATATTGTATTTTGAGAAACCAAACAATGCATTTTTTTTCAAGGTATATATGTTATTCCATTTCTCAGTATTTGATAATGATAATACCATCTCATTTATTATGAAACTTCTTTCTACAAGAACAAGAACAAAAGCACATTTTCATTTACTACAAAAAATGCTTGTCTCCAGTGAATCTTGCTAGGTTCATGTTTTAGCTTTTGATATTTAAGTTCATCTGAACAGCACTAGGTTGAGGAGGTCTGATTTATAGTGAGTATGTAGAATATGACAGAATGAGTAAGTGTATGTAAAAGCATATAATCTTGCATAGATTCATTCATTCATTCATTCATTCATTCATTCATTCATTCATTCATTCATTCATTCATTCAAATATGTTATAGCCACCCAACTCCAATGGACTCTGGGGAGCGAACAAAACCAAAAAGCAATGAAAACAATTAAAAATTTAAAACCACCCAGGCAGCCTGTATTAAAACAATAATAAAGGTAACAAAACCCATAACATTTCACTGAGTGAGTTAAATTTGAGGGTCAGATCTTTAACTTATATATATTTTTTGAAAATGATAAAATATATAGCTTTTGTTCTTGGAAAGGACATAAATGACATGAGAGAATGACTTGAGAGTGGGCATATAGGATGCACACTTTATATTTTTATTTATTTATATTTCAAATTTAGTCACTGCCCATCTCACTCAGGGAGCGACGGCAAAGTGACAAAAGACTTTAAAAACCATATTCATAGAACAAAAGTTCTCTGTTATTTCCTAATGATAAACCGGCTACATCCCAGTTTAACACAGGAGGAGCCTAATGAAGTGTCTTCTTTCAGGAAGGCTGTGGATTAGCTTTGCTATTGATCTTACCTCCTTCTGATGCAGCCCAGTGCAATGGTTTTTGATGCTGAATTGGAGCTGAAAAAGGAGCATGATGGTATTATAATCAATAAATCAAAGGGTAGGGGGAGAAAGTGGCTATAATCATATTTAGGCCTCTCTTTTCTGTACTCCTGCTTGTTTCCTTGTTCAAATATGCACATCTCAAAATAGAAAACATCATAATTACTGTTAAAACATTAACATTTAAATGGCCATTGATTTCAGACTTAAGAAATATGAAGAAGCTGTGGAATCATTTTCTAAGGTTCTTCAACTAGATCCCTTTTTTTTGGATGCCTACATTGGTCGAGGAAATGCATACCTGGAATATGGTCATACCGAAGGCGCTAGACAAGCTCTAAAGGATTTCTTGAAAGCAGTGCATATCAATCCAGTGTGCATAAAGGCTAGACTTTGCTTAGGATACAATTTGCAGGTAATATATTTGTGACACTGTCATTGTACTCCCTTTCTGAAAAAAAATGGCTGTTTTGCAAGTAGTAATTTAGGGCTTCATTAGAAAACTTCACTGCTTGTTGCTTTATTTTATATAGCTATTTCAGATCTCTATTAGTTAACGGGAACAAGCTGATAGCCTCTGCTATATAATCTCTGTTTTAGTCAATGCTTTTGCTTTTGGTCTCAATGAAATATGAACATATGTAGAGTTTTAATTTTAGAAAAAACACCTTCCATGGAACTCATCCCTATAAACAGAAAATATTTATTCCTCTCATTATAGCTCTTTCTACACTATTTGAAATGAGTGTGAATGTAAAGTTGAATTATTTCCATGTGAAAAATTCATTCAGAAATAAGAAATGCTGAGACCTCTTTTCAGCATGGGGAAAATACTAGAATTCCCACATACAGGTAGAGCTTGCTTAATGGGTCCCCTGTTTAGTGGCTATTCAAAGTTACAGTGGCACTGAAAAAGTAACTTTACAACTGGTCCTCACACTTACGACCATTGCAGCATCCCCACGGTCATGTGATTGAGATTCAGGTATTTCGCAACTGGCAGGCATTTACGATCATCACAGCATCCTATAGTCACGTGATCGCCATTTGCGCAGTTCACAGCCAGTTTCCGACAAGCGGAGTCAATGGAGAAGCCGGCATTAAAATTGCAAGGTCGCGATCATGTGATGTCTCGCTTAACAACCATATGGGAAGTGATGTTGTAAGTTCATCAGTCATGTGAAGTTTCGCTTAGTGATTGCATCGCTTAGCCATGGAGTTGTCAGTCCCAATTGTGGCTGCTAAGTGAGGCCTACCTGTTTAGTTCTTCATGTTTTTTCCTTGGCTTTCAAAAGGCATTTCTTCTGCTGCTTAGGTAAAGCAATTCAGGAGGAAAAAGCAAGCAAACTTTGTAGAGCTATGGGACATTGTTATAGGGCAGGGATGGGTAACTGCAACTCAGGAGCTGCGGGTTTCGCATTAACTGACAGACATAATAAGAAATGACCAATAGTTGCCCTTCATATTCAGATAGTTTTGCTATATTGCTATTACATTTTGCATCATTGTGATTCTCTGCATATACAGTTTGAATTAGTACTTAGTACACTTCAGTCCGATTAGATCATATTTATACAATACTGAGAGTTAAGCTGAGATGACAAAAGCAGTTGACAATTACAGTTTTCTAGGCCCCAGAATTGATAAAGATGGCAAGTTTGCAAAAGAGATTTAGAAAAGAATAACAATGGGCAAAAAGGCATTGAGGGGCCTTGACAAGCTCATGAAAAACCAAGATGTTTCAATTAAGACAAATTTAGAAAGGTCATCTCAGTGGTATTCTCCATTATGATATATGGATGTGAGGGATGGACTCTGTGCAAAGGCATAAAGAAGAAGAAGACTGACTCCTTTGAGCTATGGGGTTGAAGAAGATTGTGTCACATTCTTTGGACAGCCAAGAGAATCAACTATTCAGTAAGAGAAGAAATAAAGCTAGAACGTTCATTGGAAGCAAGGATCATGAAGCAAACACTTCCATACTTTGGATACATCAGAAGGGCTGATGGAAAAGATTATCATGCTGGGCAAGAAGAAGAGGCTGATTGCACGTGAGATGGATAGACCAAGTACTGGAGATCACAGAAATGGCACCTGCAAGAATTGCATAATGTGGCGAGAGGCAGGACAGTTTCAAGATCTCTGCTGCGGGGTACCTAGTGGGAAGTAGCTAGTCCCATACAACCCACCTACTTCACTCTGCCAGGTCTCTGTTACACAAGCCTAGTCAAATCTTTAAAGATATGATGCAGTCCGTTATATATCCCATTTATTCATGATTGGTTAGGTTCCACTGAGGTGAGTTTCACTCCTGATTACCGTAGGGACAAACGCTTCCTATCTTGATCTTCTTTAGTAATAACATTCAGCTTTTCTAGGACATTCCAATAATCTCTTCATATCTTCTTTATTTATTAATGTTTCTGTTACATTACTTCAGGCTCTTGGAAAATTTCAGAAAGCTTGGACTCAGTTTACAGCAGCCATTTGTTGTGATCCCAGTTGTCACATTGCTTATGATGGACGAGCCATAGTCTGCCTGCAGATGGGGGACACTTTTGCTGCTTTTCAAGATACAAATGCCGCACTAAAGGTTAATAGTTGTCTGTAACCGAGCAGGACTGAAGAGTTTCCACCCTTCCTCAAAATGCACATGTTTCCTACCAGCCCTGTTTTCCATTATTTCTTTAATATCCTAATCATTAATTCCTTTCCTGGAAGTTTGGGTTATACTTACTCACAAGTATAACCCTTTTCAGGTATTCAGAAAGTGCAAGCATGAGAAAGAGAGAGACAGGAATACGTGCTCTCCTTTATCCCTAATCCCTTGCTGTTTAGAGCAGTGTTTTTCAAACCTGGCCAATTTAAGATGTGTGGATTTCAACTCCCAGAATTCCCCAGTCAGCATGCTGGCTGGAGAATCCTGGGAGTTGAAGGCCACACATCTTAAAGTGGCCAGGTTTCAAAAGCACTAGTTTAGAGCAAAGGGCTAAAGAAAAGTGCCCACCCTCTGGAACTTCATTCCCCCTGAATGAAGTTGGCCTCATCCCTGTCGACCTTCTGGAAGGCTCTTAAAACCTGGCTTTTCCATCAACCTTGGGGATGCCACGGTGAGCTTGCAAGATGGCTGTATGATGTCAAATGACTGTTGTTCTCCCACATTCTTGGCTTTTTAATGCTTTTTTTATTTACATTTGTGTGTTTTATGGTTTTAATTGTCAATATGTTTGTAGGCGCCCAGAGTCAAGTTTTGTGAGATGGGCAGCTATATAAATCTAATTAATTAATTAATTAATTACTTCAATGAATATGCTTCCAGTGCTGGAAATTTTTTAAAAACTTTTTTTAAAAACTTAGCATCCCCTTCCCACTTAGCAGGTTTTGACCATATGAAGATCTTTTTCACCTCACCCCAGCCAGAACTTAGCTTGGCTACAAAATGCTATTACTATTACCCCATTATGAAAGAGAGATTCAAGATTCAAGCAGCCCATAAATCCCACAATGTTTTACTTAGTTTCTATCCAATGCCTCCCCTCTGCTCATGGGAATAAAAATCTAGATTAATTGCTGTTCTTAAATTCATTATCAGGTATAAAAAATGGTATGGGAGTGGGGAAAGGAATATTCTGCATTAGATCATTCCTGGGCAGAAATATTTAGGCCATAACTGAAAACCAACTAGCAGATTAAGATACACTTTCTGCACGTGTCTCATGTATCCTTTATGCATTTTAATCTAAAACCTTATTTGTCTGTATTCCAGATAACCATTAATGCAGAATTGCTTACAAATCGAGGTGTCATTAATCAGTTTATGGGATATTTAAACTGTGCTATGCGTGACTATCAGCAGGCTATCACCGTAGACCCCAACTATGCTTTAGCCTATTTTAATGCAGCAAATATCTACTTTTTAAACAAGCAGTTCTCACAGGTTTGTATTTGCTCTGTGCTGGTGTACTTTTTTTAAAAGAACTTTTTCTTTGGGGAAGCTACATTTTTTTATGTGTATTGATCCTTTTTGTCTTCATTAAATATTAGTGAATAATAATGCAAATATAAATTTCCAATATATACTACATGATAACAGCTGAGTTGACAAGATAACAAGTATAATCTTCAATGAGTAAATGAAATGAAAATAATTCCTTGAAAATATATAATCCTAGACCAAACAACTCAAGGAAATTTAACTAAATTTCTTGAAATGTTTTTTTTTTCAGGGCCTTTGGCCTCTTTAAAAGATAGTCAGTATAATAAATTGTTTTTATTAATTCTTTATTATTTGTAAACTGGCAAATGACTCACAGCCTGATTTTGCAATTTTAGTTTTAGAGTGAAGGGGAGTCAGAGGAAATTAAGATCTATCTTACATCAGGGATTGACAATATGCCGTATATGGATAACAGGCAGTAAGATTTTTCAAATATAGAAAAACTATCAAAGATGTTGACATTTTAAATGCATAACTTGCAGAAATCTCAGAAGGGTAATCATGAATTTAATTTCTGGCAGCCGAGTCATTATAAGTAATCCTGAAAAGGTTTGACAATTCAGTCTTTTTCATGCAGTAGCGCAGTTTACAAGATGCTAGTTTACTGTGGCATGTTTCAAGCAAGTTTTGCTGGTCAAGAACAATAAATTTAAGATCTGCCTTCTCCACATTCTGCCTAAAATACAAGGCCATGAATCTACTTGGATATATTCATACTACACACTGAGAACCGGATGACTCATTACAAGAGATTATTATACTGTATTTAAAATGCCCAATGATATGCTAAAATATCTGTTGTTTCAAAATAATTAAGAATATACAATATTACAGCTGAAAAATGGCAGCTGATCATGGGACTGTGTACTAACATTGAAATAATATCAGAATGGCCTATTTAATATTTTTGTAGTGAGAGGGAAACTGAGAGAACTAACCTGTTACCTATGAGCTGGTTATACCCAGATAGGATTATTGGCTATTCTTTCTATATTGCTTCCTTTGACAGTAATGCAGAAACTTCATTTGCCCAGATGTTGATAGGACAGTCCAATGCCAATATTATACCAGTTTGGTTGCCAATGCATTTTTGGATACAACAGATATACTATTGATTTTTTGATTTTTTAAAGCCCTATGTGATTTGGAGCCATATAATTGAAAGGATATCTTCAATTATACAAAAACTGCCCCTTCTTTAAGTCCAACTTTGGAAGCCCTGTTCATAGGCCTAATAATGAGATCAACTAAAATCATCATCATCATCATCATCATCATCATCATCATCATCATCATCATCATCAGTCAATTGCAAAAGGCAGCTTTACTTTGAACAGCTTATATCCTGTGATTGATACCTTTAATACCATCAAACAACATCTGCCTATCCCAGGCCCTTGGGAAGGACTCGATAGGTGGATAAAAAATTCCAAATCCAGTCTAAACATCTGGCTGATTGTGTGACCTACCATCATCATCATCATCATCATCATCATCATCATCATCGTTATTGTTGTTGTTGTTGTAGGGTTTGAGCGAGTTCTGCTGGAATGAGAAAAATGGGACCAAAAGTTAATCAACTATATCACTAACATTTCCTTTGCCCAGATGGGATAATAATACTATTGCTTGTTTAAAGCAATACAGTTGTTCTGCAACTACAGTGCAATTACAATAGAAATTAATGTATTTAAAAACAGGAAAACAAAAATGTGGGAGTGCAACAGTAATTTTTTCTGAATTCCTCAGAAGAAATGAGTGAACAAATAGTGTAATTGATGGGGAAAACAGCTAAGTAGAACAATACTGTTTTGTAGTACTATTATAGGAGACCTCTTAAAGATCAAGTTAAGATGATAGTGTTCCACTTATATCTTATCCAAGGTATTAATGTTTTGATAAATCAAAAATAATAAATAATGTAAAATTATGCCATCATTGTATTTAATTTTATAGGCAAATGACTATTATACCAAGGCTCTGATGCTTGACTCTGAAAATGAATCTGCCTTCCTGAATCGAGCTATTACAAATACACTCTTAAGAAACTTCGAAGAAGCAAAAGCAGATTTTGAGAAGGCAATTTGCTTGTCTCCTTTCTCTGCAGCAATATATTTTAACAAGGCAAATCTCTACAGCATGTTACAGCAATATGAGCAAGCTGAGGAAGACATTTCAAAAGGTACTAATAATTGAAATATATACATCTCCTGACACACTTGTCATTTAAAATAGGCAATGTAAAACTCCAGAATGAGATGGTTTGACATACTGAAACACTTGTTGGGGGTGGTGGGAGAATTATTCTAGTATGAGGGTCTCCTTTATCATTTTGACAAATAGATCATCAGTGCTGTTCAAGCCTTCACCACCAGCCATCTGCTCAGCATGGGAAATTCTTGCATCCTACAACAAATTGCAATGTGCAGGTCTTTATAGATCAGAGCATATGGGATGATTGATTTTCCTACCCCACCACTTCTCAGTGTCATATTACAGAGCATCCTTTGTTTAGGGATTTACAAAATGAAAACATACGCTTTTAGTACTAACGCCAGGCCTCTTGCTTAGACTTTTAGTCACTGGAATTCACATCTTATTGAATTGAGTCAACCAGACAAAGGAAAATATAATCAATTAATGCTTAAGGAATTTTAAAGATGAAATGCATGAAATATTTATGGTTGAAATGTTAGCATAGAGTTATTATTTGCTTGAGAAATCATCTAATAAAATGTTACCTTTTCCAGCACTCTCAATTCAACCTTATGATGCCTTGATGTATAAGCTGAGAGCTGATATCCGTGGCAAAATGGGTTTAATTAAAGAAGCAATTGCTGATTACAAGAAAGCCATCAGCATCCAAGAGCTTATCAGCAGCAGCTGAAAAGATATATAGTAAAAAAAACATTTATAGTATTCTTTAAAACCGGGCAACATTTTGTTCTGCTGATGTAGGTAGCCTATACTAGTGTTTTGTGCTTGTCACAGTTTTAAAATGTTGTATACATTTCTGTACTTATTTGATCAACTCAACAAGAAACATTAAATGAAACAAAGTAGTGTTAATGAAATGAAGTAATGTTATTCTTTATTATATTAATACTTATATTCTGTTTTGCTATAGCAGCTATATTTAAATCCCAGTATTTTCAATACAATTAGAGCTAAAATAGAAATCCACATTTTCTCCATTCTGCCTGAACCAACTGCATGTCTGGAAAGTTTGGAGCATGAGTTGGTCAGGTATCTGGCTTTTCCTATGCTTGCAAAGTCCAGTCCTTGTCAGACACCCTCCAGGTTTTTTTTCCTACTCTGCCTGGATAGACAAGCTTGTCCAGGCAGAGTTAAAGAATAATATGAATTTGGGGCTTAGTTGTTAGGTATGCAATAATTTAACAACTGGTTTTCAGGAACCTGACCAAACTAGCTAGATAGCACACCTCCTTATAGAAGATTTGAAGGCTTTCTTCTCCTCACAAAATCTTGAACATTAATTCAGGCTAGAAGGGAAGAGGATAGAGATGTAATTTATATTCAAATGATGCTTAAGAACCTATTGTTTCTTGTGATAGATTTGAAAATTAGTTCTGAATCTACTGAAATTGCTACAAAACTCCTTAGATGGGAGAAAAAATGTTCTGTTCTGGCAGAGAACACTGATGTAGTCATTTTTGCAGCAGAAGAAATTTCTGACCCTAAAATCAAGTTCACTACAAATTGGAGAATGGATTGTAGTGATTCCTCTCTATACTGCCTTGGACAGTCTGCACCTAGAATATTACATTCAATTCTGGATACAACATTTTAGGATGGACATTTACAAACTAAAAAGTATCTGAAGAAGAATAAGAAGATAAGGTAAGAAGGAAAAACCAGTGAGGAACAATGGGAAGCTTGGATGTATTTAGAGATGTGATAGCTGCCTTCAAGTATCAGATGGGCTGCCATGTAGAAGGCAGAGCAGAATTGTTCAGAGAAGTTCCAGGAGATGGAACATGAAACAGTGGACTTAAATTACAGGGGTATAGCTTTTGGTTGGACACCAGAAAAATATTCCTGATGCCAAGAGCTGTTCAGCAATGAGACAGACTGCCACAGGAAGTGGTAGACTCTCTGTAACTGGAGTTGTTCAAACAGAGGATGGATGGTCATCTGCTGGTGATGCTGTAGATTCCTGTACTGGTCAGAGAGTTGGACCAGACGATCTCCCACCCTTACATTCTGATTCTAGGCATTCTAGTTGGTACTGCTCTGATGTGAGCTAAATTAGCTTCCCTACAAGGAAGAGAACATAGAAGGCCTGTTCACACATTATGCCATGTTTTGTTTTAAACATTATTCATCAACATAAATGTGAAACCATAAAACATGTTTTGCAAATTATTGTGGTTTACTCACGCATTTCACCAAGCCAATAGAAAATCACCTTATAGTTTAGTGTGGTAAGTGGAACCAAGCTATAGCTATATCTGCTATGCAAAAATTTTGCTTTGTCCCAACCAATGGAAAAGTAGGTTAAAATAATTTAAAATAATCATTTATATAAGTATTTTTATTCCTTTTGATCAATTAAAATGAATTGGGCTTGAATACTTTGTGAAGTTACAGCTGATATCATGGAGCACTTTCACAGAACTTAAGAACATGGGAGAGTTTTGCATCTGATGATATCTTGAGTGTTATTAACATATTGCCACAGTTCTTGAACATCTAAATTATTTATGTATTAAATGAACAAACAATGGATTACAAACAGTATGTAATGCTTGAGTTTTGAACAGGCATCATTGGGGAAATTGGTTTAAAAAATAATGGAAAAAAGAGAGAAATAAATGTGTCATATAATGCCATGTATCAGAGTCAGTTCTCAGTGGAATGTGGGAATAAGACTGTAGATATGCTAACTGGGCCTTATCAGGTACAGAGCTATCTTGGAAGATGCAGCTTGTAGAGAACTGATGACTAGGTTGTTCTGCAGAGTTGTTCACTAGGGATGTGCAAAACATTTCAACCTCAAAACCTTCTGAGATCAAAGCAGTCTCTGACAGTGAAAACAAAACGTTTTGAGAGTTTTGTTCCAGTCATGGGGAAAAAAACTTGGCTGTTTCAAGAAGCCCGGTTTCGAGTCTTCCAATTGCTCTGAGCACTACAATAGGTCTGATATTTTGTAACTAAATGCAGATCACTGCTGTGTTTGACAACAGCATAGACCACCACCCCATCAACTCTACAGACCTCAGGTGCGTAACAAGGCATCAGCCACTGCTCCTGAGATTCCCTTGTTTCCTATGGCCAGAGCACTTTACATTTTTGAGTTTTTGCCTCAACAGGACAGATAACATTTTAGCTGTTTCAAGTTTTGTTCTGATGAAACAGATAACACTCAAAACATTTCAAGAGAACATTTCAAGTAGGGCTGTTCTGTTTTGAGCTTGAAACAACCTACTGTTTTCTGCACACCCTTTAATTAACTGCACACATAACACCTCGGTTGAAAGTGCAATGGGTACATATTAGCTTTTGATCCATGTTCAGACTGTGTTTTATAAGGTCCTAGAATGTGGTTCACCCGAGTAACATATCTGCTTCCAGTTTCTTTCTGGGTGCAATTCAAGGTGCTGATTATCACCTTTAAAGCCCTACAGGGCACAGGGCCAGGTTACTTGGGGGACCACCTCTCCCTGAGGGTATCTGCCTGTCCTACTAGGTTAGATAGGGTGGGTGCGCTCCAGGTCTCTTCCCTTAAACATTGCCACCTGATGGGACTTTGGAGAAACAGCTTCTTGGTGGCTGCCCCAGCCCTTTGGAACAGCCTCCCACCTGAGATCTGGGGGATCCCTACCCTTTTAGCCTTCCGGAGGGCCGTGAAGACCTGGCTCTTCCCCCAAGCATTAGGCTAGGATGGAGGTTGAGCTGGGAGGATGTTTGGTCTGGTGCCTGGGAAGAAGGGTACTTTTGTTTTTAAACATGTTTTTAGAGATTGTTGTGAACTGCCTAGAATCATTATATAAGATAGGCAGCCATTGAAGTCCTGTAAATAAAATAAAATAAAATAATAAAATAAAATAAAATAAAATAAATGCCAAGGTACAGATTATTTAAGAAACATCCCCAGAGATGTCCTGCCTTGAGTTTTGTACAAGTCACCTTGTTTGTCATATATACCTTATTGATGTTTATTTTAGTAATGATCTGAAGGAAGGTTTTTTTGTTGTTGTTATTGTGGAACCAAATATGTGAAATTATCTGCCCACTGAAATGAGGAAGACTTCTAATATATGTCTATTGATAACTGGACAACGTTGGTCCTGAATTCTCTGTCTAATCATTCTTACTCCTCAGGTACTAAAATGGGAGTAAATATTATAACTTATCTAAAAAAAAAAAAAAAAGATTCTTGGGCTTTAAACTTGCCTTTGGATATCGAAAGGTAAATATTATAACACTAATAAAAGGGTAAATATTATAACACTAAAATTATCTTCAG